CCAGAAGGCCCAACTGCCAGGCGACTTTTCTGAGATGTGCTTCTCACTCCGAGAAGTGAACACAGGCTTCCTCAACTTCCTGGGCCAACTTCAGTAACCAGAAGTTGTAGGGGGTCAAAGCTGAGAGGGGAATTTCACTTATAACTCCTAGCTCTAAATCTCTTGTGGCCAAACCCTTCCACATCAGAATGCCCAGCCTCAGAACATATTCCAGGTTTCTGTTCGCCCAAAGGCCTGTTCAGATACTTATGTATGGCATCTAGTCACTGGAGTACCATGCACTTCTGAAAAGTGGAATGACCTCAAAGCAGGATCCTCAAATAGTCCATCAGTCTTTGGCCATTGGCTGCCATCCATGTAACATCTTAGTAACATGCCTGACTAGTATTCAAATGCCCCTCTACCTGGTGCTCAAGTAGCAGGTAGCATCTCCTGAATGAATGCATTACTGATAATCACTGACCTCAACAACTTATGGGATAACTTCCCCCAAAGACACTGAGGTCAACTTTTTAAGTTGGTCAAAGGCAGTTCTGCTTCTGGGCAGGATTTGCCAACTAAACTTATGTCAGCCCAGGTCTATGCTTTTCTTTTCTGGAATGAGGTCAAATTTTGTTAGAAAAAGCCTTATCGACAGTGGTAGAATTTATGTCACTTTTGATGCCTTCTCTGCATTTCCCTGCCACCAGTTGGCTAGAAAAGATTCCAATCCAGTGTGACTCCTGAGCAATCAGAGAACCCAGGACAATGGCCTCTTTGGCCACTCACCCGGTATCTCCTGGGGAGGCCACCTTGTCCCTACCCTTGGCCACTTTCCCTACTTGGAGCCCCAAGTACATCAGCTCCTCACTTCCTTCTTCCCCCTTCTCTCTTCACCCCTTATTTCTGCCCACATTTGACAAGCCCCACATGCCTAAAGTCCAAGGTTCCCTGACCTCTCCCTCACAAAGCTCAATGGCTAATGTGGGCTCTCTGTTTTAATGAGATACGGGGAAGAGAACTGTTTTCACTTTGTCCCCCAGACAACGGCTTTTCTTATGACTTGACCTGATGACTCCTAATGGAGAAAAGATAAAAGACAAAAGCAGCCACGTGAATTTTCTTTAACTGGAAAGTACCACAAACACTATAAATTTAGGTCCACAGAAGGACAACAGGGAGTGTAGAGGGAATGATGCCTGGCTTTCTTCCGAGAAGGATAACTACATGTGTCATTAAGGCGATAAAGGAAGACACAGGTATGCATTCCCAGCTTTCTTTCAGCCAAGTCCTCCCACAAAAATGGCCTATGGAATGACACAGCTGGGTGGAGGCCCTGGCTCTAGCCCTTGCTAGGGGATCATGTCTGATCTCAGACTGATCTGTAAAAATATGGATAATAATGTCTACAACACTTTGCTGTGATAATTAAAGATGATAAATGCGAAAGTACCTATCAGAGTGCCCACAGCATAGCTGAAGCTAAATATGAGTTTCCTTATCTCCCTTATTTTCATTAGCACATGACACAAGCATCCCTGCCAAGAGCACCACCTCACAGGCCAGGGCTTCCTGAGGCCAGAGGGCCGCCTCCCTGTAATTAGGATTCCTCCTCTGTTCACAATGGAGCACTGCTTTCTTACCTCCGTGTCTGCCTCCTGTACCTCCCGGTTTCTGCCCCCCTTTCTGCTTTTCTCTCTTGACCCTCGATTCACAGGGACTGTTTTAAAATGCATCTGACTTCAGGGACATTTTCTCACAGTGTGGATGTACTACTTTCTTCCCGCTCTTCAACCCTGCACACAGAAACCCTGCACACACAAATGCCGGAGCAATGGGACAGAATGTGACCCGCTCCAGTGATGGCCCCTATGAGAATACCACATAGAAGGCACACGTTTATCTTATCCACCCAGTCAATGTGTAACATATACACACATTAGGAATCATAATGGTTTGGTGGGTAGAACACTGGACTTGCAGGGAAGTCCGAAGTTCAAATTCTTGATGTGACACTAAATGGCAGTGTGACCAAATGACCATCATTTGGCCTCATCGGCCTCAGTTTACTCATGAATGAAGTGTTAAGCCTTGCAGATGCTCCCTCTCACTGTCAAATTGCAGGGGTTACATGCCATCCTCAGGAAGGAGGAGCACCAATCGGGGCACTGAAAAAAAGTGCTATCTTTCCAGGACACAAGGAGGATACCTATAGAAAGTCAAAGCACTCTAAGTCCCACGGAACGTAAACAAATGGACTGCCTGATTCGTCTGCTTCTCCCTGCCCCTCTCCCTTTGGCTGCTTCTGTTGGATCTGTCTTCCTTAAGGGAGCAATCTTTCACAGCTGGGCCCAGGGACAGCTCCAGCTCTGAGGGCAAGCAAGAGCTGCACAGGGGCAGGAAGGTGAGAACAGAAGGCTCAGGTCAGATGAGCCCAAATGCTTGGTGAGAATGAATCTCTTTATGAAATGTGCTTCCTCCCTGTACTGTTGGAGTAGTAAGACCCAAAGGGACAAAATCCATGTCCAGGCCCTGGAGAGAAAGAGAGACTGGAAAGCTCAAGCCACCCTCTCAGGTAAAGGCAAGGGAATGCCTGAAGGCTACACAGGGCTCAGCCTGGGTAACTAAAGGAAGGACAAAGACACACTGGACCCAGGAGGCCGTAACAGAAATAAAACGTGGGTTTCACAGGACTGTACCCAGTGACAGCTGTAATGGAAGTGTCACTATAGTTTGGCAATCAAAAAGTTTAGGGATTTGGAATTCTGGCTATTTTCTTAAACATTTAAATATATATGTGTGTGTGTGTGTGTGTGTATGTGTTTTTGTGGTAAAAGATGTTTAACAAAACGTACCACCTTAACTGTTTTCAAGTGAACAACTCAGTGGTGTTAAGGATATTCACATTATTATAAAACAGATCTCAGGAACTTCATCTTACAAACTAGAACTCTGTCCCCCCAAACAACAATCCTTCCCCCTCCCCACAGTCCTAGTAACCACCAGTCTACTTTCTGTCTCTATGAACTGGACTACTTTAGAAATCTCAGATTCTGGCTATTTTCATACCTGACTCACAACTCATAACTTGTATTATTTGGGAAGCCAAAGTAACCATGTACAGGGAAGACAGATTTATAAAGCAGGCTCACTGAGGAAGCATAAAGTCAAGAGCGGCTGACTTCTTATAATGTAAGAATCATACAAAGATAGCAATAATCCTAAAATGGGATAGGACCTGGCAATCAGAATTCAGGATGAGCATGTACTGAAATTTCGCAATACCCCAAGCTCAAACAGGGACAGAGAATGGTTACAACAAACAATGCAGAACGTCATGGTGTTCAGGCTTTTATTTGGTAGGACTGGCACTGATGTGTGATCAGTGTTATTTCTGGAAATTAAAGACTATTAAAATTAAAGACTAATACCAAATTTAGCCAGTGGTCTCAGTAAACACACTTCTAAGTTCTCCAGATAGAAATATCCACAGGACTGAACTAGAAATGCAAAACACGTAAACACTTCATTATTAGCTAGGCCTGTGACTCTAATGCTTGATGCAGCATTTCATAGGCTAGGCTAGATCCCATGGAGGACTCCTTTTCCCTTTATTAGTGGTAACCCTGAGCTTCAGGCCAAAGTAAGTATTGGCATGAACAGGAGAAACTAAGATACTAAACCCTATCTTAAGTCTTATCACCCATAATAAAGAAGGCTGGTGGAGGGCACCCCAGTCAGGATAGGAGAGAACTAAGCCAGAGAGAGACAGAAAGAACATCTGTCACTCTATTAGGCTTCCACATAGGACAGTCACTTGCAAGTCCATCAAACACGGGGGGGGGGAGGGGGGGGGGCGCTAGGTGGGCTCTTCCACGTAGGAGTTGCTGCAGTCTTACCACTCTGGCTATGTACAGTCAGGAAAGAGAAAAATACCACCCATCCCTGTGGGCTTAACATTTTAACCAGGCACAGTGACTAGGTCCACTGGAATAGAGGCCACTGAAGTGCCCTTACCTGACCAAGTCAATTCTCCTTATATGGTAGGGAAGTAAAGTCAGGGTTGGGAGAAGCCCGGGAGCTGAGAAGTCAGCCTTTGGCAGTGGGGAGGAGGGGGATGAATAAGATGAATAACAAGAATCCACACCGTCTGGCCCCCTTCGGTGCCCCAGGGCCAGGCCAACAGTTATCAATAAGGGCTCTCCTTTCTCTTGCTTCCCAGCTGTGCATGGAAGTAATGGAAAAGCTTATCATGTGTATGAACCACAGAGACCCAGACTGCATGTTCCACTGGAGTATTGTGGATTTCAGCAATGAATGTCATTGCACATACTTCCTTTCATAAAGATGAACAAATACCTATCCTTGTCTTCTCGAGTTGAAGAGGAGGAAAAAAAACTATTAAACAATTATCACAAATCTGAAGGCTCAAAAGGAAACAAAGGGAAAAAATGCTTGGCTGGGAACAGTGGCATTCAGAATCAAATGTGCACAATGATGTAAAACCATAAATCCAGGGTGAGAAGATTTTCAGTAAATCCCATTTAAGGAGAAGGCTATTGCTGTTCAGGCTTTGGGAAAAACACCAGAAACTTAAAGAGTAACAAACCCCACTGAAAAACAAGTGGTGCTATCTCAATGAAGGCGAGAACAGTGGGAGCTTCGGGTTTCTGGCCCAGAGGCCTCCAAGACAGCAGAGGAAAACAGCATGGCAGAGAGAAAACTCAACCAACCATGGTTCACGTGAAAAGAAGCCAGACCTCAGAGGAACGAAGAAGAACTCAAATGGGACAAAGGTGTTTCTGCTGTGTTTAGAGCTAAGGAAGGTGTCCAAGGTCTAAGGGACTCAAAGCCAGATAGAGGCAAGAGTTGAGGGAAAACCAGGAGGCTGGAGGATCTTCCTCCTTGTTGAGCCCAAAGGGCACATGCTTAGAAAAAACTCCAGAGACAGCTTTGGTTTAGAAAAACTTGAGGGGGATTTTCCATCTAGGAAAAAACAGTGAAACAATGAGAAAACTTACCACAGTGACAGGAGTCAAAACCCCCAAGACACTCCAGAAAAAGAGACAGAGGAGGGGCCACAGTGGGTGGCTGAAGGGCCGCCAAAGCCTTAGGATCCTGCTGGGTAGGGAAAATGCAAGAAAAAAAGTAGAAGATCTATATTATGAAAAATTAAGGATCACAAAATTTTTTTGAAGAACTGGCTCAGAATACAGGTATCCCCACTTATATATAGAATTCATATAAATATATGGGATTTGAGGTATATGTGGTCAAAGAGAAAATGGGAAAACCTGAGAAACCCTTGAAAGGAAAATTCAGTTTATACAAGTTCACTCCAAGATATCACGGTTAGGCTATGACAGGAATTTATCCAAACTGAATTTTAGGCTCACAGATATTGGATACTGGATTTAAGTGACTTGGACAGGCTGGAATCCAAGGGGGTCTAAGATCAGTAACTGGTTTTTCACCACTTTTCAGTGAGAGGAGCACTAGAGGAGCACAAACTGGAGCCAGGATGAGCAGGCTGGCACCCTGGCTTTACCACACACTGGCTCTGTGACCTTCACCTAAGAGGTTAAGAATGTAATTAGGAGAGATAATAAAGGCAGCTGATCTTGTAAGGTAATCTTCTGAGGTACTTTAAGAATTAAATAAGTTAATGCATGACAAGTACAGAAAAGAGTGCCTGGAAATTTTTAAGGGCCCAACAACGATTAGCTATCGTTACCTCCCCTCTCTGCTGTACTCCCCGGCTGCTATGAGTGGTTTGGCTATAGGATTTCAACACCTATTTTTAAGTTTCGGGAACATCACTTTTCCTTGGGAAGTCTGATGACATATTAAAGGCACTTAGGTATCAAACTGCTGTCATGCTGACGTTCAGAACTAACATTTAGTTGTTCTAAATTTCATGCATCTGGGGATGGTGCTAAATTACTGTATGTCTATAGAGCTTCCCAGCTCCTTGGGGGAAAGGAAGTATGTGCATGACATGAGGTTAGAATTACCCAACTTTTCTAACAGCTATCTGAAGTAGCTGTATCATTTTCAGCAGAAATCACTAACATGAGAAATAGAATCCTACAGATCACCCTGAGTGACCCTGCAATGTCAGAGTCTGAATAAAATACGAAGAAAATGGAAAAGTGAAAATGCTTTCAATGTATTTAGGGATTGTAGTTTTTCTATGCGAACAAAGGGTTGACTTAGAATGAAGGCTGTTAACTGGCCTTTGAAGGGCAGGAATACATTTGGAAAAATTTCAAATGGTTTTGATATTGGGCCAAGTTTTTTCTTCCTTACTGAACTGCACATGCCAATCATGGTACCTATGAGCCTGCAAATCCTACCAACAGGGATGGTCTCAGCCTTCAGGGAAGGCCCAGGCTGCCGTGGACCCCATCGCCACTCCTCTTCACTCACCACAGCCTCTTAGACCGAGTGCAGACACCTGACCCAAGAGCTTATCAGTGACCTCTGATGCGGCTGGTAACAATAAAAGCAGCAACCAAGTCAGATCCCCAACCTCTTTCTCAGGAAGCTAAATACTGAGAATGAGGCGATCCGCCGTGAGAGAGGTACAGCTGTTAAGGTTACGATGTACACAGGAAACCAGAGATGTCATGAGCAAATGGGGTCTAAGTCGGAGAACAGACAGACGGAGGAGGAAAAAGGAATAAGCCAGATGCAGCAAGAGGGAACAAAGAAAAGAGAGGCCCCACCATCCACGGGAAAGACTGTGGCTTGTCTCTGGGCTGCTGGAGTTCCTGAGGTTCTCTGGTCCAGGTGCGTCCTCACACCATGTTTTACAAAATGGTCTGAATGGATCTCTGCTCCTTGCAACAAAAAACAGCTAACTTGAAACAGTTACTTCAGCTCCCCTGAGGATGGAGTTTTCCCAGGGGGGCAGTTTGGTGCCTCCGACAGATTCCTGGCCAGTCCACCCTGCCAGATGTGCCTAGACATCCCAGCAGAACAGGGGTGTCTCATCTAGGCACCTCAGCAGAGTCCCTAGGGCTTATGAGCATCTCAAGGTCCTATGGAAATGCCGAGACCTGAAAAAAATATTTATTGGATGCAAAATATGAAAAGAAAATTATAACATCAAAGTTAATAAATGTTTAAAGTCCCCTACTAGTCAAATGAAGTTTAACTCACAGTTCTGTAAAAGCCGATTTTGTGAGGGACATGGGTGCATTTTTAATGTCTGCTATACGACATGGTACAGGCCGCCAGAGGAAAGAGTGTGGAGGCCTTCCATGGCCTACAAACCAGTCCCACAGCAGCGGACATGTCTGGGCTTAAGCTGGGACCTGCCTATCCTACCCCTTGTATATGCGTACACTAAATATTATGCCTTACCACTCAAAACTGAGTACTATGAAGTTAGAAATCACCCTCCCCTCCCAAATTTAAATATACTCTTAATACTTCTGATATTAGGAATCTATCATCCTTCCTTAATATTTTACAAAACTGAAGACAAGCCTCTGTCAGCCATCTTACTAGTTTTTCCAAAAAGGGAAAAAATGTTACTCATGATTACAAATGGTCCTGCACATTTAAAGGACTGGACTTTTGACATCTTTCAGAATAATAAATCAAAAGTTGGTCACATTCATTGTCTTTCCTTATGCAAGAGCCCCCTTGAATGTCACGAACAGACCTAAACATTCTCTCCCACTTAGATTCTCAATCTATTCTCAAATCTATTTTCTAACAGGAGGCGGCATAGAAGTTACACAAAATTTAAATCTTATACCTGTAAAAGCGAAAAGCAAGTATGATTCTTTTTCTATAATCGCTGTGGCATGGCTATACCTGGCTGTGCATAGACAAGTCCCCATCTGCTCTTTGGAGTGCCTCCGGCCTGCCTAGCTAGGCCCAGTCTGCTCTCCTCACTTTCACTGCTCAGTCTGCCCACAAACATCCATACCTTCTGTTTCCACTCCTGTGCACCCTCCTCTCCCTCGCCACCCCCCCCCCCCGCCCTACTTCTACAAAACTGCTCTCAAAGTGGTCATCTCCTCCTTGTCAGACCACTGGGCCACTCCTCACAATTCACAGACTCCTGGTTCGTACAAATCTCCTTGCTCCCTGATGCCGGCACTTGTTCACCTCCCCTCAGGCCTTGCTGAGGGGACGGACTGTTTCTTTCAGTCCTATGGGCTAAACACAAGTATCCTCGAAAGGTTATGTCCTGACTCAACCACCTGCTTGGTTTCAATGAGACCATTTCCATGGTAATTCCACATTCTCTCGTAACCAGTTCTGTCTCCTTACCTGTATTTCCCACTGCCTAAGGAATATTTCCCTATCATCCCACAACTAACTAAAAATCATTTGCCATCTTCCAAATCCCTATAAAAGGCAATGTCCTCCCTCAACAACTATCCCAGGCCAGTAAATTTAAAGCCAGCTCTCTCCTCCCAATCCCTACACATCTTTTAACTTTGTCTTCCCTCCGCTTGTTTTTCCTCCAGCACTTCAATGCAATGCAAAGTCTTCTACCTTAAGGAAAACCAATACTTAATCCTATCCCTTCTTTAGCTGTCATACACTCTTTCTCTCCCATTTCCCTGTGGAAGCATCTTAAAAACTTATTTTCCTGATTTCTACAGCTTTACTTCCCATTCATTCCTCAACCCACCACCACACCATTCAAGTTCCTCTTGGCCACTGACCACCACCAACCACACTCCTCTGGCTCCCTTCTGCCTCTGTGTTCTACTCTCGCCACATAACCCTTACACTCAGTCGGCCTGGAGAGCTCCTGTTCCTCCATAAGTACTAGTACTCTCATGGGCTCCATCTCAGCTCTCCTCTGCTCCCAATTTACATCCACCCCAGTTCAACCACCTAGACCACTGGTTCTCCCCGGGACTGTTCGAGAAAACCTTTTGAGGAGTGTAGGTTTTAACTATTCATAATGCCTCCAGAGGGCACTCAAACATTTGCTCAGAAACCTTCATGGCTATTTACGCAAAGGTATTAGAACCTGAAGTGAATCTCAGTGGATGATGACTACCTCTAATGAGATGCCAAGCATCGTAAGGACTTGTACAACCTGCAGGTTCCCTGTTTCTGTGAGCTGGGGGCTTATCACAAGGGTCTAATCCTATCATAACATGCCGTAATACTGAATATTGGTTAACTGGGAAACCTGACATGTTTGCTAGCCAATGCCCAAGTACTAGGAATTAGTGAAATACTCTTCAATCCTATCAACCTTAATCCTAAAATGTTTGAAATGGACATCTAAAAATAATTTGAAAGCCAGAGGGACATAATGGACTTTACTCACAGAAAAAAAAGGGGTTCAGATTTTTTTATGAATTGTTTTATCATTTACCTAAAAGGCAGAATTTATAACCTTTGGGACAGAGGTTTGCTCTGGCCATAACAAGGGCCAAAAGCTCTGTCACAATACCATGGAAGGCACTGCAAAATAAGATGTGGAAATAAGCTATGATTATTTTATGAACTTATGGGATATGAAAAATAAATGAGCTCTAGAATAGCTTTACTTAATTTCTTATAACATATCAGGTGACATAAGAGACACTGCAAATTTCAGAGTTAGAATAAAGGCATAGAAATGCTTTAGTGCAATTGTAGTGCAAAACAATACAAAATTACTGCTTTTTAAAATTAAACGCTTCTGACACAACTCCAAAAATAAATTTTTAAAAAAAAATCCCTTTTCCTCCAATTTCTGTACAAATGATCACTGACCACAGCCATTTGTTATCCATCTCGTGAGTCTTCTTCTAGGATTAGTTGTGGTAATTCTTTGAACCTAGGTTAATGACTTCAATTTGCCAAACCTAGTTTCACTCCTTATCCCTTTATCGTATCTCTGAGCCATTTAAAATGACTGCTCTCGCCCAATTCTTGGAACTTCCTCCTCAGCTGCCAGGATTCTGCACTCTCACGAGTACCCTCTGTATGCAATGCCCAGCCAGCCCACCAGGCTCAGGTACGCAGCTAGGCAAATCTGCTCTGCTGGCCCTGCAACGGTGAACAGTGAATTCTCAGATCCGTTCTCCTGAGAATCTAGAATTGGGAAGTGGAAAGGCTAGGCCTGTGAACTGGCAGGGGTTACAGACTCA